TGTTTTCGAAAAAAAAATCGGTTATTTTTGCAGTTTTTGTCCCCTGCAGGCAAAACCGTTGACGTTAGGTCAAATCTGAGAGAATTACTCAGAAAGGGCGTTAATAGGGCTATCGAATTCGCTTTTCCGCGGCGCTGTAGCTCTATTGGTTCCCGAATTATGCGTTGGCTTCTTGGAAATTTTCGACATTCGACCTGGAAATCGGCGAAATTTTGCCTTCAATGACCTCTGGTGACCTGACCTTTGACCTGACCAAAAATTGACTGAAGTGATTTCGTCATTATTTTTTACGCTCTTTCGAACGCCGCCTTCCGCGTGTCGCTACGTGGCCCAGGAGCCGAGTTACAAGGGGGTGTTCAAACACCCCCTCCCCCCAGCAGGGCGTGGAAATCCAGGACCCCCAGCAGGGCGCGGGTTAATCACGCATTGCAGACAACATGCGGTGAATAACGATTGCTGTTTAACGACGCAATTACAACCATACAAATGCATTTCCGAACAGTGGCGGATCCAGGGGGGGGGGCTGCGGGGGCTGGCAGCCCCCACCCAAGGAAAACTGGCGCCACTGCGCCGAAGGCGCAGTGGCGCCAATTTTCAATTCGCAACTCATCGGAGTGCCGCATACTAGGACTAGGATGCAAAAATCAGTCGAATAACGTCGTTTCAGTACGCTCCGCACCGATATTTCCAATCGTGTGGTGTCACTGTACAATGTACATACTGATCCTGGGCGCCTCTTGTCAGGGCCACTGGGCGCCAATATTTCAGCGCCAATACGATGCGACTATGGCGCCCATCCGGGGCGTGGCGCCCAATTATGACCTGCAGCCCCTCCCCAGTGAAAATCCTGGATCCGCCACTGTTTCCGAAGCACATACGTTCATGAAAATAAAGGCATAAACATGGTAGATATGATGACATTTTTTGTAACACTGAAAACAGAAGGGAAATTAAAAAAGCACAATTTTGGCTCTAGAGCGAAGGAAGTCACCCGTATCGAGCTGCCGCTGCAGGTGAAAGTGCGCATATGGGAAGCACTTCTAATGGCTATCTAAAAAAAAAACAAAAACGGACAGTGCTGCTAATACGTACATACAACAGGGTGGGTGGTTCGCTTTGCTCCGGTGCAGTTGTCCGCTAATCGCTATAACCCCACTTTCCCCTAAATAAGAGACAAATAGGTAAGCACATTGCCGGCTGCCGCATTCGGTTCGGAAAGTCGTTCTTCCGCGCCGTTGGGGAATGGGGGCATATCCCCCATTTGCCCCAACGTTCTCTCCTCATTCCACCGTTATAAACGCATGGACAATGTCCATACATCCAAGATATTATGTCACGAGGAACCCAGGGTAGAGCGTAGAGTGTGATGTGACGTCAACCTCCATCTCAGTGTAGTTGAACAGAGGGCGCTGGGGAAGTATCCTGTTGAACAGATGGCGCTGGGGTAGCATCCTTCGTACGTGATCATCAGTGATACCACAGTAGTGATGTCAATTACGGAAAATTTTGATACCGATACCAAACCAAATACCAACAATAACCATGGAGGAATACCGAAACCTAACCAACTTGGTAAACTTAGGAAAAATACCAACTTTTACCGAATTCACAGCGTCTTTTACATAAGGGACGATTCACAATACCAACAAAATACCAAATACATTAGCCTTGAAATACCAAATACCAAGTTGGTATCGGTTTGGTATCGGTATACCAAAAAGTTGGTATCTGACTGACATCTCTATACCACAGTGATACCAGCTGGATATGCATAGGTGTCGCTAGTTGTCACTTTACTTGTACGAGTAACATAGATGACGCCACATTCATATTTTTCTCCACGCCAATCATGAAAACGATGACAGCAGTTGCAAAACCAGCAGCAAGTATGAAAAGATGACATTAAAAGCGTAGCTTTACCAAAATAAGTTGTAAAGGTGATAAAAATAGTAAAATCAATAAATGTCAGCAATTAGCGTCGCGTATGAAGGAATACCGCCCGCCGCCGTGGACGTGGGCGGCCCATGACCCCCGCAGCCCATGGTATAAACAGCGACCTAGCAACAGCGGGGCTGTACAGCGGGGGGGGAGGCACGCCATAGTAAGCGCCCCTCCCAACCAGTAATACCTCCGGTTCCGTCCCCATGATACAAAGCATTGATAGACTGCAACTACCTATTCATCAGTGCCTATCTATAAGTTCGAAAGTGGCCACTGCTATAACTACGAGTTCGGACGGGATGATCTCTGTGACCTCTGCAGACGCCCCCCCCCCTTCCCGGCGGCTCCAGTGTCTGCCTGCCCGCCGCCGACATCCCCCCACCACAGGTCTAAAGTCTACAACCGGTCTATAATTATTATCCACCACAATATGCCACATCAGATCGTTAAATTACTTCCCGCTGCACAGCGCACCGTGTCCACTGTGCGCCCATGACTCACGTTCCATGTCTGTGACCTTCATGAAGCAGCGCTCAGTGTTGCAGTGTGGGGCAGAGGGCTGGGGTGTGGAACGAGTGCAGACTCTGCCAGCAACCGATAATACGGTAAGGGGTCGGGATAGGGGGTTAGGAGACCCCTTATCAGTTATCACTCGTCAGGGGGTAGTGACACCCCATTTATATTGATATTTGACATCAGATTCTCGCCGTTATATCGTAACAAAGACAGTGTGCAGAGCCTTACTGCGCATGCGCCCGGGGAAGTCCAGTCAACTGGAATGGCGCAGTTGGTTTTGCAGCGGACGAAGGGGGCAATGAAAAGGGAACGGGGTTTGGAAAGAGAACAGAACGAAGATTTAAAAGCTCCTGCTCAGAGGTGGAGCGGTTGGGGGAGGACAATGCTCCCCTCCCCCTGTACCTCGCACATAGGCGCAGGGGCGTAACCACGCTAGAAAAAAATGGTGCGGACCAACTCATAGGGGCGCCATCCTTCAAAGGGGGCGCCATTCTTAGAGGGGGTACCATCGCCTATAAAGGAATAGGATGCGAAAGAGGGGGCCTTCATATGTGAAAGCGGGCAGTGGCTTAGCCAGAGGGGTCAGGATGAACGTTTCCCCCTTCAAGTTTAGGGGGACCGGGCCCGAGGTGCCTTGCGATGCAAATTGGCCGCTGGGGGTCCATGCTAGTCATAATTCAACTCAGAAGGGCCCCACAGGGCTCGCAAGAGCACCTCCTGGCAACTAAGTAGCCAAGTTAATCTCCAAAAGGGACCCACGCCGGCTTCTAAGGGCCCCTTGCCGGCCTCTGAGCCAGGGTCCCTTACCGGACTCTGAGGACCCTTGTCGGCCAATTAGGGACCAGCAGCTCTAAGAACCCCCCACCCGCCTGTGATGGCCTCACCATTGGCGGCGGAACGGGGGGGGGGGGGCACCGGGGCACCGTGCCCCCCTTTGATTTTGGCATTTTAACATTGGCCCTATGGGCGTTGCATGGAAAGAGTGGGACCAAAGGTCGACAGTGTCCCCCCGCTTAATTGAAGGTGTTCCGCCGCTACTGACCTCGCAGTGGCTGGCAAAACGCCAATAAGTCGGGTGAACACTCGACCGTATTGGCCTATTTACATCTCGCTTCCAGAGGGAGACGGGGGTTCGTAGTAGGAACGCCCCTCTCTTCTGCCGTCCGGACTCTGATCAAGCTACAGCGTTGTAAAAAAAAAACAATCGCGCGTGCTGCCCGTGAAGAGAGAAAATCGATGACAACCCAATTTTAAAGGTGAGGGTTATCGGTTGATGTTTCAGGTCAGGTCAATGACCCAAAAGTCGGCAAAATCGGGACCTTCCAGGACTGCGTAGAGTGGGATTGTTACGTTTTTTTCTTCGAGGTCCTGATAGCTCATTCTATTGAGTAGATTCGATCAATGATCGAATATTCGAATCCTCATGCATCCCCATGCATTCGGGGTAGGTCGGGTCAGGTCATGTCAGGTCAACCAGAAAACGTCCTGCCGGCTATCCATAAGGTGTTCAGCACCACTGATATCTTCCCAAAGCTTGCGATCATACGACGTTGGCAAAGCTTGCGATCATACAAAGATCATACGACGTTGGCACCAAAACCATATTGCTAATGTAAATATTTGTGCTAAATTTGATTGCAGCTCTAAAAAACTACTTCAGATGCACTTCAATAAACAAATGAGTAAAAAAAAAGGCATGCGAGACCAATGACCTTGAACTGACCATAACGGGACCTTGGCGCTTGCCATAAAGCCTATAAGCTACACTAGCATGAATTATCACGTTAGTTCAGTTCCTGCGAGATTTCAGTTGGCGCCGTGAAACTCGTCCCATAGCGAATGTATAGTGCGAGCTGCCTTGCCAATGGTGTCGTCCCGTGGAGCGAAAAGCTCCCCCCCCCCCGAAAAAAAACGACGAGTCGGAACAGAAATAGTTCAGTCAGAGCGCTGATTTTATATGGTTTCAGCGGGATCTCCTGTTACTGATGAATGTTTAGAAGTGATTAGAAGTCTTAAAGGGACTGTCCCATCTTTGCATTAGTTCTGAGTTGAGATAGCCAAGTTGGCGGCCAGGTTCAGAAACCACTATATATCCTGGTCGCAATATCCTTAGTTTCGTGGTGTTGAAGAAATTCGTTCCCTTCATTTGAAAAGTGGGCCTTAGCTAAGGCCCTATCTCTTAACTATTAACTAGTGTAGCTCAGCCTTGAGTCTGTGAAATTGTCAACAACTTTGATGAAATTGATCGTCTGTGAAATCTGGTGAAATCAATGTGCGCCAACCAGTTTCAGCTAGCAATTCTCGTGTTGTGTTCAAAAAGACGTTCACAGTGAGGGGCAAACGAACACTAAAAAGCGAACTATAGTAATATCTCAAAATGATTAGTGCATTTTAATCACTTTTTCTGGAAGTTTTATACCTGGTGTCATTCACACTCTTTCCCGCTCCTGGGCGTTCCCCGCAGCACGTGTTCTGAATGACCGCTTTTTCGCAGAATTCAGAGATAAGTATGTGTACCGCGCAATCTCCGAGATGAATTCAGCGCAGAAATCGGGTCGATTCTACGTGCGACCTTCCAAATTATCCTCATCACTTTCGAGAGACTCTCTGGGCTCATGGCTGGCACCTGTGATTTCATTAAACCCCACATAAAAACCAGGGACGTCATAGGCGGCGGAAGGTAATTTGGGATGGGGCACACCTGCACACCTGATCCCTCCGGGAACCTAGGGTACCCCAAAATCTAGTTTTCTCACCGGTTTTAGGCCACTTGTTTTTCACCCCTTAGCATTTGCAACGAAAAATTGAAACGAAAACAGTTGCGAAGAAGTGAGATATTCCGTCTCATCTGAGTCAATGAACTACCTTTTTGGTAACCTGGAATAAAGGTTAATAAAAGCTTCCACACATGAGCTGTCAAGTGTCAAGTCAGGTACAGAGGGATATTTTTTATCTTTTTTTTTCCTTAAATAGGTACTAGAATACAGGTTTACGCGATAACTGTACGTTCGGATAGATATGGTTGATGGGGCCATTAGTTGGGTTGTCAAAACTTTTATGTTTATATAAGTAGGGTGGTGTTTGGTAGTTGCTTCTCTTAATTGTATAGTAGGTAGGGATGGGTTTTCGAGGAGCAATACGAATCCAAAGGTTTGGACATTGAATTATTTAAAAAAAAAACACGCCCGCCCGCCGCCAACCGCAAACGCCGCAAAAATAAAAACGACCGCCTCCAACCGCAAACAACACCGCAAACGCCGCAAAAAAACCGCCCGCATCGCGCGCCCGCCCGCCGCCAACCGCAAACGCCGCAAAAAATAAAAACCGCCCGCATCGCACGCCCGCTCGCCGCCAACCACAAACGCCGCAAAAAATAAAAACCGCCCGCATCGCACGCCCGCCCGCCGCCAACCACAAACGCCGCAAAAAATAGAAACCGCCCGCCCGACCGCCGCCAACCGCAAACGCCTCGAAAAAATGAAAACCGCCCGCATCGTGCGCCCGCCCGCCCGCCGCCAACCGCAAACGCCGCAAAAGTAAAAATGACCGCCTCCAACCGCAAACAACGCCGCAAAAAATAAAAACCGCCCGCATCGCGCGCCCGCCCGCCGCCAACCGCAAACGCCGCAAAAAAATAAAAACCGCCCGCATCGCACGCCCGCCCGCCGCCAACCACAAACGCCGCAAAAAATAAAAACCGCCCGCCCGACCGCCGCCAACCGCAAACGCCTCGAACAAATGAAAACCTCCCGCATCGTGCGCCCGCCCACCCGCCGCCAACCGCAAACACCACAAAAAAAGAAAATCGCCCGCATTACCCGCCCGCCCGCCGCCAATCGGGATCGCCGCAAAAAAGCGTTATTCTACCCATATACATGTCCTACCCTACCTATACCCTACCTACACCCTACCCATACCCTACTCATAGGCTCTATTCCCACCTTACTCTAGTGTATTCCTATAACCACCAGTAAGTCGTAACATAACATAACATACCTACGTTCTTAACATGAGCACTGTAAACTACTCTAATTGTATTCTATCACATTCGTTTGTTCAATATCATGGATATTATTAATGCTGTAAATGGTGAAAGGTTGTTCTCTTGAAGATTGCCAGGTAGGTAATCGAGTGTGCATACCTACCCAATAAGTGCGGCTCGCATAACCGCCCAAACATTCCTTTTTACTCGCTAGATGGCAGGAGCGTCAAGCGCCTGAATGGACGCTGTGCCGCAGTGCCGCGTCTGCCGTATCACCGCCTGAATGCACACTGTACCGCAATACTGTCTCTAGGGCATATGCACACATACAGATGGACACGTTTGTTTTGAAATTATTTTTGTTTTAAGTGTGACCGGATTTACCCCCGAGAAACTGATCCTGGATACGCCTTTAGCTAAGGAAAAGTCGCCAAATTTCGAACCCCTAAGGCGATTTTCCATCGACAGCAAAAATACTACAGGTGGGGGCCGATGCCCCCCCCCCCCCCCACCAGTAATAGGGTTGATCGATAATAATGTCTGATACTATGAAAAAGCAGGAATAGCTATAAGTAATTGATGTAACCCTAGCTGATAGCTGCTAAGAAACACACTGAACCTAATCGCACCAAACCTGCACTAAATTTGTACTTACCAGATGGCCGTCGTGAACCGGCTACTATCCATTGCGTGGCCACCCCACCTTTCCTGTTTCGCGCTAGATGGCAGAGCCATCAAACGCCTGATTGCATACTGTACCGCAATGGCGGTGCTGGCGAATAAAGCCGCCTGAGTGCATACTGTACCGCAATGTCGTGTCCGCCGCCCAACCTTTCCTTTTACGCGCTAGGTGGCAGAACTATCAAACGCCTGATTGCATACTGTACCGCAATGTCGCTTCTGGCGGTTATAGCCGCCTGAGTGCATACTGTACGGCAATGCCGTGTTGAAAGTTGGTTCGCTACTCTTAAATGAAAACACAGATTACGGTGGATATAGTGACGAAGAATGAGCGGCAGAGGATTTAGAAGCATTGAGACACATTATTAAATAAGACTACATGCCAACTTTCAGCGCAATCGGCCCAGTAGTTACCGAGATATTGCA